GTGTGTGTGTGTGGGGGGGGGGGGTTATACTTCTATGGTCATTCCCACTATTCATTTGGTAAAGGTAGATCAAGAGCTGGTGGTGGGTGCTGCCGGCAAGTTGCCTTCCAAATTAGGGACGGCCTTAGTAATCACAAACCAAACAAAAGCGAAATATTTCAAGTAAAACTGTTTATTTGATTTACTAGTTTTATAAAACCACAAAAAACAACTGTAAAAGAGATTGGACTTTATTATATAAAGATGAAGACAAGAATGTTTTCTCCCACACTTGAACTGCATAGCAACTAGAACTAAACTGAAGATAAAATCATAAATAATATTCAACGTTAAACTGGTACACAATTAAAAACAAGCAAACTTCTCTTAGGAAAGTCGAGCTAGCAAGATGTGAAGGCCAACTTTCACGAAAAAAGCACCAATTAGAAGACAGTGATGATTTAGAGAATAACACAGAAAACTCTCTACATCATTACATAGTTGTCGTAGTAAATAAATTACAATAAAGCGGTACTCAAATGACAAAATTATCTTTCTTTCTTTCTCTTTAGAGTAGATACAAGTCATGACGAAAAACATTACAGATCTTGATTAAAACTCAATAAAAACATAAAGTATTATGAGATTAATATCATTACAGGTAAAATACAAAATCTACATCATATGTTCACATCAAGGTAAGCTGAGCAATTTAACAAACCTGTTAGAATATAACTGAATAATCGAAACAATATAAGCGAGATTAAACCTTCTATATAACATATACATTAAATCAAATTTGTGTACACAAGTCCAAGATACACCAAACAGGAAACACACCTCCTTCACATATCACATGAATACAGTCGTAATACAATGGCCCTGCCTCCCAGTGGCATGTCTGCGAGCTTACAACGCAAGAAACCGGGTTTTGATACCCGTAGTGGGCAGAGCACAGATAGCTCATTGTGTAGCTTTCTGCTTAATTTACAAGCAAACAAACAATGACTCTCTAGTGGCACAGCGCATGTCTGTGGATTTGAAACGCTAGAAACCGGGTTTCGATACCCATGGTGGGCAGAGCACAGATAGCCCATTGTGCAGCTTTGTGCTTAACAAACAAACAAACAAACGTAATACAATGAAAACTAGTTTCAGGTGAGTGAAATACAACAATATCCAAGGTCATAGATAATAATCAGAATTAAAACAAATTAAATGCTTGAAACCCGTAACCACTGTGGTATTCTCAGATAAAACTGGAACCAACAGGTAATGATGAAATATGACCTATTATCTGAGACATGGACGTCTCACTAAATTGTTGACTTTGAATTTATAACATATAATAGAGTGAGTCATGACTCACGAGTTTGTCCAACTTTTGAAAACATTTACAGTGACAGTTTAGAATGAAAGGCAAACATTTATTAGTTTAATTAAGGGAAAGTACAAAATATTTGGGAAAGACAATGCTTCATTAATCTATTTAACTATTTCTTCAATAACTCACTTATCACTGCGTTTTAGAAAATTCTTCACTGCTTATTCCTTTTTACTAGAGGAAGAAAATAGACACTTACTCTTAATGGTGGTGGTGGTGGGTGGGGGGGGGGTGACGGGGGGTAGTTTGCTGTAATTTACATAGGTCTGAAATGAGATAAAC